CCAGTTACCGTCCTCGCGGCAGCCACCAAGAACGATGCCTCCAGCGAGAGGACGCTGGAAGACATACGTAGTGTCGTTGTCGACTCGACGAGGCGATCGAAAGTACATCCGCTCCAGTGGCTGAATGGGCTGTTCGACCAGGACCGTTTGCCCTCGAGTTGGGTACATGGCTTTGTCTTCAACTCCGCCGAGATGATATGATCCTAAGCCAGTGCAGTTGAAGACAGCGACGACGTCGGCAGAAATGCGAGCCTCTTTGATGTGGGTAATCTGACGCCGGAGCAGAGACACGCCCCCTTGCCTACATTCTTCCAAAAGCCTGGGCCGAGTTAATCACAGCAGTCAATCTGAGTTCGAGGTGGGTAACACCAACCACTGAAGGTAAATTTGGGAATTGATCACAAAGGTGGAGGGCAAGTCTAGTCCAAACACAGCCCCCTTGGGCAGCTCATTCTCGTTCAGCGAGACTGCGCCACCGACCAAATCATCATACCACAATTTGCCAGTTCCTTCGCTGAGTATCTCGGCATCCTCAATCTTCTGGTCAAAAATCATTCTAAGAGGCGAACTCTTGATTCCTGCTTCGGGGGTGTGCTTGGCAATTTCCTTGAACCTCTCAAAGGTAACGCGGTCGAATGACTCGAGGAGCCCATTGTCGCTTGCTGAGGAACACCAGTTTGCGCCGGCCCATGGGGAGCAGTAGTCGATATGGTAGTCGCCGGGGAAGTATTCTGCTAGAATGGTGATGCGCGCTGATGGATATCTACTTCGGAGGGTAATCGCTGTTGAGAGGCCGATTACGCCGCCTCCAAGCACCACGAAGTGCCTATTGTCCGAAGACTTCGTAGCCATAGTGTGGTTTCTTGATGTCAAGGTACCTGGACCAAGCATACAAAGAGGCAGGCAGTAGAGTCAAGATGTCGCTGCCGCAGTGCCGTCCCGCAAAGATTGAGGTATGGTCCGATCATAGCTGTGGGGTCGCGTCGAGAACAAGTCCGAGATCGGCGTTCCTCGACCGGGAGTTGACTCCGGTTGCGGGCGTCACCGGCCTTCCTGGGTCCACATTTCCGCGGATGAAAGCATCGGGCCCGTCGTGACAATTCAATCGTATTTCGGGAGAATCAACTCCGTAAGTCTAGTATCTCTTAAATGACCATTCTGCCAGATATCCCCGTGACCGCGTGCTCGAAAAGAATGCAGCGTCGGGGAGCCCCCGACCTATGTCGGCTTCATGCGACCTGCCAATCTTGGGATGCGCTATCGTCTTTAAAAGTCGGTATTTCGCATATCAGGACCCGCTGTTCGTCATTCTCACCGACGAATCCCAGCCCCGCGATAAAACGCCAGCTCCCCTTTATGAACATGGATTGAGCCTGGGAGGAGCACCATCAACTTAGAATCAACACCTCTCCACCTGCCTAACATGAGAATCACCAACTCTGAGCCGCACTCGTTCATTAATCTCCAAGGAGGATGGCCGACTCCCCGCTTGCACCCAGTGAAAGACCTTGAGGCTGCTTCTTCCTCCTTGTTCCGTCAAGAAGATGTTGCGAAAGAGCTTCTTAGATATGGAGCTGGACTTGGCAGGCCGTCTCTGCGAGATTTGATCGGAAAATGGCTGAATGATTTTTATCAGCCGGCTGCCGGCTCTATTCCAGGCGCTCGAATTGGCGAGACAAACGGTGCATCAAATGGCTTAGCGACAATTCTTCAAAAGTTCACAGACCCAGTCTACACCCGCGCGGTCTGGATGGTCGAGCCTACATACTTCCTCGCATGCCCCATCTTTAGAGATGCAGGTCTCGCGGGCCGCATCCGAGGCACACCAGAAGGGCCAGACGGCGTGGATCTCGACTTTCTCGCAAGCGAGCTACAACGCGTCAATGAGACCTGGCCGGACAAGACTTCAGGACCGAGCAAGTCGGCGAAGCTGGGATATCCCAAGGTGTATCGCCATGTGGTCTATCTTATCCCAACTTTTTCGAACCCTAGTGGGAAAACCATGACTTTGGAAAACAGGAAGAGACTTGTGCAGTTGGCGAGAAAGCATGATGCTCTGCTGATATCTGACGATGTCTACGACGTGCTCCGGTGGCCGGCGAAGGAGGGTGTCTCAGCTGAAGCTCTTCCACAGTCTAGCCCACGCTTGGTAGATGTGGACAGAGAGCTAGAGGGCACATCAACGTTTGGAAATGCGGTCAGTAATGGCTCCTTCTCCAAAATTATTGCGCCTGGCATGAGGCTTGGCTGGATTGAAGCAACCCCCGTTTTCTGCACCAACATTCGTACTGTGTAAGCGCTTCGCCCATGCTCTCACGCTTGACAAGAAGACTGACTTGCTTGCAGCGGCGCTACGGCTTCAGGTGGCGGGCAAGCTCACTTTTCCTCTCTCTTCGTGGAAAACGTGCTCGCAGAGGGGGCTCTGACTCGGCACATCAACGAAGTCCTAATTCCTACCTACCAGAAGCGCTACTATGCCATGGTCAACACAATCAAACGTGTTCTCTATCCCCTGGGCGTAAGAATTGCTGCGGAGGACGCCGCACAAGAGAGCGGTGTGGCTGGTGGCTTCTTCCTCTACATAACCTTTGGCGATGACGGCGCCGACTTTGCGTCGGAAATTTCGCGGGTTTCTTTTGAAGACTTCAACTTGAAGATTGGGCCAGGCCTGATATTCGGCGTGCCTGATGACCCTAACAGTGAGCAAAGGGGTAGGGAGTCATACTACAGCGGCGCGAGACTTTGCTGGGCGTGGCATGAGGAGGAGGAAATTGTTGAAGGTATCGAGCGATTGGCGGTTGTGATCAAGGGCGTTCAAAAGGCGCTGAGATAGGTCGTTGTCAAAGGCGATTCGGACAGGATTGAAGTTTCAATTGTCCCCTCAAGGATCAAGAATCAAGAATCAGAATAATCAAATTCTGACAAAGACCAAATGTTTCGGTTCGGGACTCCGGCCCGGTACTTCGCCCGATGCGCGAGTCTCCGCCTCGGACAACACCTCCGGACGCGTCCATAGGCTCGGCCCGAACTTTTCTGGGCTTAAGCTCGCGTCATTCGGGGTTGGCATGGTGAGCGAAGCGAAAGTACCCCGTATGTATGGTGGAAATTCGTTCACCCTGCAGTCCACATTTAGGTAATGGAAATAACGTTAGAGGAGCTTCCCCGTGGGGCTCCACTCCAAGGTCTGCTTGAGACTAACCTGGGGTATTTAAGACTCTTTTGCCATATTCAATTTTAGAAGTAACATCTCCCGGCCGGTTTCTGAATTGTCCGGTGATTTTTCCGGATATCCGTGTGGTGTATGATGGAGAAAGCGACGATTCCAGGTCCGGGAAATGGGGCCGGTGAGCCAGTTGATGAGCCCCGAATGCCGCCCGCATCGGGTCCGAATACTAGTGGGGAACATGAGCGCCATCTTGACCCGAGAACCATGGAACAAGGCGTGACCACGATTCCTGAGACCGATGCGGCTGCCGACGGGTTTCCTGAAGGTGGACGAGAAGCTCTCACGGTGCTGTTTGGCAGCTGGTGCGTTCTCTTATGTACTTACGGTCTGGGCAACAGCATCGGCGTTTTCCAGACATACTACGTCAATGAAGCGCTTCGAGAGTATTCTTCATCCACTGTATCATGGATCACCAGTTTCATGCAATGGACCATGAACTTCTTACCCATCATTGTACGTCGCTTCTTTGAATTACAATTACAAACTTTCAGCTGACGTGAAGGCTAGTGGGGATTTGTCTTTGACAAGTACGGGCCACGATGGATTCTCTTCGGTGGTACCATCACTTATGTGTTTGGCATGATGATGGAGTCTTTGGGCACCAAATACTATCATTTCTTCCTCGCTCAGGGCATCGTCTGTCCCATCGGCGCGAGCGCAGTGACCAGCGCCGCCATGTCGTGCCTCGTCACCTGGTTCCATCGTCGACGCGGGATGGCCTTTGGCATCATGATGTCCGGATCCTCTTGCGGTGGCATCATCTTACCTATCATGATTCCTAAGTTGATTGATAGGATCGGGTTCGGCTGGGCGATACGCTGCGTTGGCTTCATGTTTCTGTTCCTCCTCATCATCGCCAACTGCACAGTCAGATCTCGCCTCAAGCCAGAACAAAAGCCAGTAGACATGAAGGAGTACTTCCGAGGTATTCGAGAACCAACCATGATGTCAACAGTCTTCGGGCTCTTCTTGGTCTTTCTCGGCCTGTTTGTTCCGTACAACTTTGTGATTCTACAAGCTAGAGCTCAGGGCATGGACGAGGAGTTGGTCATTTACCTGCTGCCTATCATGCACGCCGTTGGGTACGTCGCCAACCTCGGTCACTGGATAACTCTAATTACTAACTGAATGGAAATAGAATCGTCGGGCGTATCGTCCCAGGCTTGTTGGCTGACAGAGTCGGCCGATACAACATTATGATCACCATCGCCACCCTTACGGGAATTTCTTGTTTAGCGCTCTGGATCCCGATCAAGAATGACGCCGGAATTCTCATCTTTACAGCAGCATTCGGCTTCTGCTCATCTGGTCTGACATCTATCGGGCCCACCCTCATAGCTCAGATCTCCGATATCAGAGAGATCGGTGCTCGAACCGGTACGGCGTTCGCATTCCAGTCTTTTGGTGCTCTCACAGGCAGTCCCATAGCGAGCGCAATCGTTGATGCACGCGGGGGTGACTATCTCGGCTTGCAACTGTTTTGCGGGTTGGCCATTTTTGCATCAGCAGGTGTTTTTGCATCGGCGCGGTATTTTCAGAGTGGTGGATTCAAGCTACAAAAGGTTTAAATGCTACGTCGTTTTTTCAAGCAGGCTGTGAGTCCATAAATACGTTGGAAGTCAATTTCATGGTTCATCGTCGCTTATCTCGCTCCCAATACACCATGGCTGTGTTGAGCCTTTTAAACCTATCGGTGTCCTTCCCTCTCCGGCCCAATAATCAGAGGTCCTCATGGTGTCAATACCTTCGGGCCTCTCGACCTCTGTCCAAGACTTCAGTGTTTGTCCGAGTACCAGGCTCTCTCTCTAAACCAAGGCTTCAACTTTCCAGCAGCAACCAACTCCTCCTTACCCCAGGGGTTCCATTCACAGTTCTTTCCGGACGTGATGTACCTCTTGAGGGTCTTCCTTGGACTAAAACCGAACTCGTTAAAGTGTTTAGCAATGTCGTAAGCGACTCTGGCAATCATCATTTCCCCCGCCATTTCGTCTGCGAGAGCCTCACACATGTCGAGATCGTGTTCCAGATCTTCGTGCTCTCCGGAGCAACACGAGTCGGGTCCCTCTTGTTGACCGTGGTCCTCCAGGATGTCTTTCAGAAAATGCATCTGCCTTTGGTTGACGCGGACGTTAGTGCATCCATGATCGTCTTCTGTGTCCTCTCCGTTGTCGTCCTCGTCGCTGTACTCGTCGCCATCGCTCTCCGATTCTTGATCGGACTCCTCGTCGCTGTCGTCTTCATCACTCGCTTCGCTTCTGTCTCCGGACAAGTCCTTTCCACTTTCGGCGTCAGTCTCCTTTTCGATATCCCAACGCACCTTTTTGGGCTCCGAGAACATGCGTGAACTACCCATGTTATCTTTCTGAGAGCTACTTCCTGGCGTGTAGATGGCTTGCAGGCCCCGGGACACGGTCGATGCGTTGATGAGGTCGAGGAGGCCTTGGCTTTGCTCGGCTTTGTTGGGTGTTCTTGCCGCGATCGGAGGGGAGAGGTGAGGACGGCAGTTGGAGCTGCGGAATGTCTTTGGGCAGTCTGGCAGAAAGAGCTCTGACGTGTCAGGCGTGAGGCTAGGAATGCGTTCAACGCCAGTGCTGTAGATGCTGTGCTTCCCCGAGGGTCTGAATCGGTCGATGTACTCCGCGTTGTCGAGCATCAGGTCGTCGAAGTTAGGCTTAGGTTCGATCTCCTTCGCATGGTCTTGAAACCTCTCCAGGACATCCTCCAAATTCTCGCCTGCATCTGCCAGGTGCGCAGAGACGGCTCGAGCCAGCGGGCCAACGGTCTTCTCCCAATCGCACCCCATTGACTGCTCAGCCACTTCGACTTTTCTTCGAAGATTACGGCAGATTTCACGGCCGACCTTGCAGTTGGCAGGATCGGACTCGTGAAAGTCAACCAGTGCAAGTAAGCCCAAAAGTTCGTGCCCGCGGTGAACATTGTCTCGAAACCACACTTCGATGGCGTTGAGGCTTTCGTCTTGGTGAGCCTCCTGCGGCTCGACCGTAGCATCACATGTCTCCTCATCACTGCCATCACCATCTTCCTCCTTGAGGAGCAGCCTTAAGACAGCATCTTCGTCATTTTCATGTCCACCTTCCTCATTCGTCGTCGCTTTGGGAGCCAAAGGAGCATCAAGCATGTGGGTCGTGGAAGTCTGACGACTCTCCGCGTCTGATGTAGCGTCCGAGGTGAGATCAATGACGGGGGTGGAAGACATGGTTCTGTGCAGCTCGTCGTCATCCTCGATCTTTTCGATCTTGCAATGAACATCTGCTGCGATGTGAGGTGGGGAAACGGAGTTCTCGTTGTGGTGAGAGGATTCTCCTGAGCGATCCGTTTTGCGGCGCTTCGTATCGATGACTGACTTGTCGCCCTCTCTGCGTCGCTTCGTTGTGCCCGACAACATCTTCTCAAGCCCTCCAAGATCATCAACCAATTGTTGCAGAACTTCTCTCAGATTTCGCTCCTCATTTGCACCGATTCCCCCCCGTACCGTGTGTATACCACGTCGGATCTTTGAGATGACGTCCAAGGTGCTTTCTTGAACGGGGGCGATGATTCGATCTTTGCTCCCCAGCCACTCTGGGGCTGAGGAAGAGGAAAGCTTGCTCTTCATTGCGGCTAAGTTTTCACTGTGGTCAGCGTCGATCAGTGCAATAAAGTATGCCGGGAAAGACTTATTCGTGAATAGTATCTTCGTAGAACGAAAAGCTTGAGACTTCTGTTGGCCTTATCTGCTTATGATCTGGCTGAATGACTGAAAGATCGCAGGGTTGCAGTTGAGAGTTCTGAAAAGAAGAGCGAGTAATTTTTTCTATTTTTAGAAAAAGAAAAACAAATGGCAGGTAGAAGTTCCTCATTGGACGCGGTCTTTCCTAGTTGGAGTCGAGTCGGCCTCCTCACAGCTGGAGCATTCTCGTAATTTCAGATACGGAAGGAGTTCACCGAGAGTCTACTTTTCTCATATACCTACTTATCTAAATATTTGCCTTGGAAAGCTTCTTTTGAAAGTTGCTAGTGGAGCCTCAAGACCCTTCTTCTGAATAAGTCGGGTAACTCATGTGCCCTCATGCGTTGCATGACCATTCCGCAAAAGGATAACGTGTGCAATTTTACTTTTTTTTCTAAGAGTGGCCAAACGTAGATCTCTATTCGTTTGTCTGTGGATGTGTATTTCTAAGACTCAAACCTCTCGCCTTAAAGTGCGCAGGCTCAATAGGACGGCGGTATGTATGCCTTCTAAGTGTGAACGAATCACAAAAGTCATTCGCTGACTTCAGGTGCGATATCGTGCTTCAATGCAGAGTTCCGTATGTTAATGACATGAGCCAAAAGTGTTGTTTCTTTCCTCTCTCCGACAGTCTGGCCTGGGCCTCCTTCAATTAGCCTGGCGTTTCTCAAACCCTTCAGCCAGTGCTTAGATACGGCTACAGCAGGCGGCGGTTGGGTTTCCATCATCTAATATAATAGTTGGCCTCGATCTTGACTCATTCTGATCTCGTCCATGTATTGTCGAACTATCAAAAATGGTCACAAGTCTGAGATCCTTACATTTAGCGGATGCACCACTCAAGTGCCCTGACACCTGTTGGACATGTACTTCACGCCAATCTGAAACACGAGTCAAAAAATCAGGTCTCATCGTGCTTTTGACCATGAAGGCTTTTAGATACGTCACGAGCAATTGATCCCGGCCTGCCTGAGATGCCTTGAATGGGTCTGAGTACCTTGAGGTTCTGTCGTTGTGTCTGTCGTCTTCGTCGCTATCATGTTTCTTATTGTCTGAGTCTCTATTATCGATTCTATTGTCTACGCAATATTACACTACTGTGATCTCTGTTGGTGTCGTCTTCGATTGAAATCATTGACACAGAGAATCTAGCTATGCACAGCAGGATGTTGTGGTCTCTATTCGATTTGTACCGATGCTGCTTCAAGAGAGTTTCACAAGATTACGAATATTAGACGACAGATGAAGAAATTGATGCATCAAGCATAGTATTTACGTCCTCGACGGTAAAAGGTAAGATATGTACATGAATCTGTCGTTGGTCACTCGTGTGCCTTGACTCAACCCCCTTGCTTCCTCTCAACTACTTCAACTGAAACCAGGCGACTCCTCCAGAGCCTCATCCCGGCCAGAGACAATCCCATCAGCCAAAGCTTAGATCTTTCCAAAGCCAGCGGTGTTGGGGACGTTCTTGGCGTCGTTGGCGGTGACAGTGGCAGCGACGTTCTTGCCAGAGAGGCTGGAGAGAATGCTGGTGTCGGAGCCGGAGAGAGAGCCAGAGCTGCCGTAAGCGTTGAGCTGGCAGGTGTGGCCAAGGTAGCTGGAGCACTGAGCGTTGGTGTTGGCATCGGGGCTGGAGAAGACCTTGCCGGCCAGACCAGTCTGCATGGCAGCAACGACGTTCTGGAAGACGTTGCCCTCGAGGACAACCTTGGCACCAGCATCGGCCTCCATGGCGTGACCTGTAAAGAAAAACGTTAGCCATCTGAAGTCTGTCTTCTGAATGACACAAGATGGGAAGGGTCATTGTGGCTGCCCGGATGGCACTTGGCTAGGCCGGATGGTCCGTGCACTCGCTGACCCACTGTACCGAGTCGGGTCCGTCCCGGAGCCCGGAGGTGCAGAAAACCAAGCATAGAAGTTGTAGAACGACCACAACATCATGAAATGCTTTAAAAGCTTGTAATAGAGAAATATACGTACCGCTGTTGGCATAGAAATAATTACCTGAGATGTGGACGAGGCTGTCGGGGCAAAAGCCGTTAGTTTAGACATCTTAGGGCACGATGGTGACGCTGGGTCAAATCGGGATATCAAGTTGGACGTACGAGTTGCCAGCGATCTTGGGGGAACGGCCGGAGGTGTGATGGATGTAGTTCTCTGGGGAAAATGGCGTTAGTACATGTACAACTTAGGCTGGTGGGTATTGTGGTGAAGAGTGTCTTACTGCTGAAGGTGACCATGTCGTTGCTGCCGGTCAGGTAGACACCCCAGTAGTGGTGGTTGTCGCAGGTGGCAGACCAAGAAGTAGAGCCGTCAATCTCGTTGTTGGAGATGGTAACACGGTTAGAGGCACCGTTGCCGAGGACAATGTGCTGGCGACCGATCAGGGAGGTCTTGACGTGGTCGATCCAAACGAGGTCGGTGCCGTCCAGAGAGATAGCATCACCTCCCCAGACGTACTTGGGGTTCAGGTTCGTGATGTGAATCTACGTTTGTCAGCTAAATATGTTCGAAACTTAGCAGAGACTCAACTCACGTTCTGGATGATGACGTTCTTGGCAGAGTTGGTAATGCGAAGACCCTTGCCCTTGATCACACCAGCAGAACCCCTTCCTATGATAGATTTATTGCTGCCGACAATAAGAGGATTGAAAGGCGCCTAGACGATGTCAGAGAAGTTTAGAAACAATCCCTGTTCGGTTTCCTACCTTGTCGTAGCTGACAGAGACCTTGGGGGCGTTGGGCTGGTAGTTGGTGCACCTGACCACCTCGACATCAGTAACAATGCAAGGAAACAATGTTTCAGACTGTTTACTCACCAGTTGTCCTTGTTAATAGCAACCTGGCAGGCAGAAGCAGTGCCGTAGGGTGCGCAGCCGGTCTCGGTGGTAGTTCCCTCGGTACCGGTGAAGTCAAAGGTCTTGGTCAGGACAATGACGCGAGCGGAAGAGTCCTTGAGGTAGGAGGCGAGCTCGGCAGTGGTGGAAGGGTAGACGGGAGTGGCGCTGCCACCGCCAGTGACGCCCTTGGCAAAGCCTTCAGCGGCGCCAGAAACGGCGTCCGCGGCCGAGGCCAGGGGAGCAAGGGCAGCCAGTGCCGCGGAGAGGATAGATGCAGATCTCATGGTGCTAAGCTTTCGGAACGAACAGAAATAGTAGGTACAAAAGAATGAATGTGGAGTCGGTAGTTGAATAAAGAGAGAATGTTGAAGAGCGAAAGCTGCTGAAGAAAGGATCTTCCCAAGTCAAGAACAGCCGGCTGAGGTCGATGATATATACACTCTGTTGGTTCATTGTTCCTCCCTCTGTTTCTCAGCTCCATTTTAGTCTCGTCTCGTCTTTCCCTCCGCCGTTCCTCTCCGCCCCCTGAGCAGCCCTGCACAACCCCCACCAACAGGGACGAAAACGACAAGACAACCTCATCTTACTGACAAGCTGTCTAGGCTCTAGCCCTCCAAGGCCTCAAAATCTGTAATCGGCCGAGGGCGCAAAGCAAAAGCCACCCACACTACTTTCCGAAAATCCCATGGCGTGGGTGCCGGAGCCGACTTGTTCGAGGGATAGAGTGGTGGAGCCTCTCCACTGATTCGTGGGGTTTTACTGCGCTCCGAAACCCCTTCATCTACCACGTACGTTGGCGCCGGGGTTGTTTGGTGATAGCACCGGCGGCACCAACCGAATCGAGCATCAACAACAAGCCTCGCAAACGCACCGTCAGCGACTTCCATCAATGAGATGTAAAAGGAGCGGATTACACGTCTCCGCCGGTAGGGCACGTGTAGGGGCCAAAGCCGGGGCTAGAGACTGCCATCGATGGAGCCGAGGAGCCCAGGTGCCTGGGTGCGTTGTCACGCGGTACCATCAGCGGCAGTTGGCACGTAGCGCATGCAGAAGAGACACAATTGCCCCGTCTGCAATGTCTCTCCTCGTAGGTATTTCCGCCATTCAACATGGGGTAACGCAGGCGAAATGTTCCTCTGCTGCATCCGAGGTCATCGTAGCTGGTTCTTGGCATTCCCAAAAGTCGTACCGATGAAACGGTTCGAATTTCCCGCCACGGCGCATTTGTTGGGTGGTGTCTTCTCGCATCCTTCCGCGCAATTCGGCACCTGGCATGGCGGCGCTCGACGGTGAGTGGTGGGCATGGAAAACCCAAGCGAACGGGGATGTGGGAATAAGCTAAGAAGCTTCTAGGCTCGGTCGCTCTCCGTTGTCATTATGTCTTCTCGAAGATGGATATGATCTGTTAAGCATAAACCCGCGGTTGGCGCATCACACACACGTCAAGGGCTCCTCTTCATCACCCCTGGCCCAAGCTCAAGCTCTCTCCCTTGACTTTGGGCGTTGCTTTACGCGTCGCACGTGTGCTCAGCAGGCGTGAGCCATGTTTAAACGAAAGGACTGCCA